TATGAAGTCGAGTGAGAGTAAGAAGGAAAAAATATTGCACACAGATATTATGAAAAATCAAATTCTGTAGGTTCACAAATCTAATTTTTCATAATGTCTCTAAGCCTAAGAGGGCATGTTGATGAGGGTTTAGTCTTTGAATACTTTTGTAGATGATGAGAGGATTTGAGAATTTGAAATCACTTTGTCTTCTTCCTTTTTCATATAAACCAAGTTTGAGGTCCCCTCTATTAATGTCCTTGATTCAAGATCACCCTAAATTTTTTTTAGAATAGAGATAATTATATGAGTAAAAGTGGCTCTCTGAGGTTTGTATGGGATTAAGGTGAATCATGTGAGCTGGGAACAAGAGGGATATTGGGCGATTGGGACAATTGCTCTGTTTGGCAGAGGGACAACAGAAGAAAAGGAAAGAAAGTTTTTAAAAAGAAATGAATGGCTCTTTTGATATGTATGCATACGTGTTTCAATTTCTTACAAGAAATGAATGGCATAAAAGTAAAATTTTTAAAAAATGTTGATAATCATAAGTTTTGAGGAAGCTATTAGCTTATAGCCATGTTTTATTTATTGGAAACTTGGTAAGGCTTTGTGCATGGTTACTTAAAAAAATATTTTTTTTAACAGCTTATAAGGACTATGCACTATTATTCCTCAAAATATTTGCTTAATAAGAAGGTTATTCAAATGACTAAAGTATTCATGTAGAGCCAAAGCATCATGGAGGAAATCTTCTCTTTTCATTGAGATAGGATTTCCAGTATCTTTCTCTTCTTTGGTTCTCATTTTATCTTTCTTTTTTATTTTAACTAATAACAAACTAATAGCATTTTTTCTTGACACGCATGTAAGTTAGTTGAGACATTTCATCACTCTATCATGGCAACTTATATGTCTAACATGACTTCAACACCTTGACATGCTTGAGAAGTGTGTCTATTTTCTTTTATACATTCAGAACTTTAGAAGTGCATCTCCTATTTCTTAATAATTTAGTTGCTCAGGTTAAGATTTTCATCAGAGAATCACATTACAAACTCCTAGGTATGATGTAAAGTTTTGTTTGCTTGGTTTCATGATTCTTTAGTCCTCTGGTACCTGGTTGTTATATACTATCCTTCATATTTTTCTTTTGGCTAGCATGTATGCTCTGTTTTGCTCATTTTTCTTGTTCCTTTTGCATCAATTTTGTTCTTTAACTCGCCAAACTTCATCAATGTTTTTCACCTCCCCTTACTTCATCAAAAACCTAAAGGCAAATTTGATGTATATGGTGGTCCAGATCTACTTTCCATCCCTTAACTCTGAACCAGCCTTCATTTTTGTTCGTCAAGATTTATTGGTTCCAATTTCATCCTTTAACTCTTGAAAATTGATTAGTATTTGGCTCTCCCCACTCTCTGATAGAAAACCATAATGACTTACTAAAATGGCATTCTATTTGTCAAAGAACTGACCTTGCATAACTCATGCCTGGCCTGGTAAATGTCTTAAAATATGGCCAAGTTCAACTTACATGATCTTTACATTTCCCTTAAATTATTATTAGGGTTTGTAAAGAGTTTAGGGTACTAGAGCTGTTGCATTTAAATTCTCCTAGATTGCTCAAAAGTGGTCATTAACCTTCAATGTTGTTAAATTAGAGGTGGTAGTACAAGGCCAAGATTTTGCTATTACAGTGAAGTGGCCAAGATACAAGAATCTTAATCTGAGTATTTCTTTACCAATTCATCATAATAGTAGATCATTAGCCTCTTTGAGTTACTGCTCATTAGATTGAGAGTCTATTTTTAAGAAGTCTGGGAGAGTTTTAAATGCAACATCTCTAGCAACCTAAGGTTTGTTATGTATGAATTACAAGTTACCTAGGGTCAGTTTTTTCAACATGTATAATATCATGTCAGATTCTCTATTAAGTGTATTTTACAGAATGAGTTGAGAGGAAAATATTGTGTTTTGTTGACGTTGTTATAGTTGCTAGAAGGTCAATGGGTCTTGCATTTTGAATATAACTTTTTCTCTGGACTCTTGACTTTATATAGATCTGTTGATATTTTCATTTCCTTTAATTTTCTTTTTTTTCCCTTTAGGCTGAAAATTCTTTTGGAGACTTGAAAAAAAACTAATGTTTATGATATTTAATTGTCTTGTGAAGATTGAAACATAATTCTTCCAAAAATATATACATATATACTATGACTATAGAATTTTTTTAAGACCTGAAACTTGCTATTGAATTATATTTATTTTAATAGAATTATATTTATTTTAATAGCTAGTGTGATATTGTTAAGAAAGTATTCTAGAGGTGGAGCATGAAGTTAATTGGCTTTGAAAAATTCACTTAAGTTGTTATTATTATTTTCTTTAATTCTATTTTAGTAGAACCATTTAGTGGCGGCAAGAAAAGGAAAGAAGAAAATCTACATTATATAGGATGTGAATAACAAGTATGCCTAGTTTCCAATAATTGGTCTGCTGCAAGAAATATTTGTGTGTGTTCTCTTTATACTTTACACAAAGTAGTTGGTATAATCCTTAAATTGTTTTTAAAATTTCTTAAAGGATGAATTCTTTTTTCTTAAACTTTATAGACATAATTTACATCTTTTGGCTTTGGAATGGTATTCAACTACAATGCATTGATTTTGAAAGCTTAAAGTGGGCAAGAATTGAGCAATAAGCTTGGAATCTTTCAGGTATAACTTGTTGTAGTTACTTTAGCTAATTTATATCTAAATTGATTAGTTGCTATCGTCTTATTTGTATATTTCTTCCTCCTAGTTCTTTGCGTTGTCTGTGAAGCATCAATACTGTAGAGAAGTGCCTACTTTAAGGTAATGTATTCATCTTAGCTTTGTTTTGGCTAGCATAGTCATTTGAATGTGGAATCTAATTGTTTATTCATCCAATTGCAACTTACTCTTGTTATGTTACTCAAGGTTTCAAAGTTCATTGTCATATCATTAATATGTCTTGTTATGTCTTGCCTTTTCCCAATTGTAGAATTTAGACACTTAGCATTAAGCAAAGTGACTTGTTTTGTGAACTACAAACAATATTGAATAAAAAGCCTTTATTAAAAAATGGTGGATGGCCCTATCAATTTGTGACTTCTTTAAGCAATCTTCTATAAATTGATACTTGTCTTTTCATATGAATTACAAATATATTGTAATGTTAGCAATAACTTTTCATATGTAAGATGAGCCACATCCTATATAATCTTGTCATTATATTTCTTTTGTATGTTTATATTTGTTCATACACAAAAATTAATTAGGTTGATTGGATCTAAGTGAAATGGTTAGAGCACATTCTCTAAGCACTCTTTTTATTTCTTTTATAATGTAGAAAGCATGAGGGATGATAGAATTTGGATGTATAATAGAAAGGGTCAAAGTAGAAAAAGGGCAACAGAAGAGTTTGTAAGTGGCATAGATGGGTTCTTAGAATTTGCAATATGTCAAGATGACTTTGTTTTTGATGGCAAGATAAGATGTCCTTGCTCAAGGTGTTATAATCGACACTTTATTGAAATAGATATTGTCAGAAATCACGTCTATAAACATGGTTTTGTGCCTGAGTACTATTAATGGGTCTCCCATGGAGAATCTTATATAGCTATGGATAGGGCAGAATGTAATATCAATTGTACTTCTCAATTGAGCGAGGACAGTGTGTCGATTATAAATCCTTATCGTAGGATGGTTTTAGAAGCTGCTGGTCCTAGTTTTAGTCCAAATGTATTTGATGGGGATGGGATCTTTATTGAAGATGAAATGCTCAGAGATAAGGAAGAGCTTCCTAATTGTGAGGCTAAGAAGTTTTATGAAATGTTAAAAGGTATGGAGGAGCCAATTTTTCATGGGTGTAAAACACATTCTACATTGTTCGCGGTGATGATATTGTTGAATATCAAATCTGAATTTAACTTGAACGAAAGTTGTTTTAATCGCATATTGCAACTAATCAAAGAACTTTTACTTGGAGATGCAAAGTTGCTTAATGACTTATATAAGACAAAACAGATGGTTAGTAAGCTTGGGCTAGGGTATGAGAAGATAGCAATGGTTGTATTCTTTATTACAAGGAACACAAAGACAAGATCACTTGTCCCAAATATGGTTATCCTCATTATAAACCTAGGAAGAAAGTTGATAAACAGAAGCATAATATACCTTATATGGTTTTGCAATACATGCCTCTCACCCCTAGACTACAAAGGTTGTATATGTCATCAAAAACATCTGAAGACATGACATGGCATGCAACAACTCATCGAGAGCAAGGGGTGATGAGCCATCCATGTGATGAGGAAGCGTGGAAGCATTTTAATCAATACCATCCTTCCTTTGCTGCAGAACCTCACAATATTCGATTAGCTATTGCATCTAATGGTTTTAGACTTTATGGATAAATGTCACATACTTATTCTTGTTGGCCAGTAATTGTCACACCATATAACCTTCCACTGGGAATGTGCATGAGCACCCCTTACATGTTCTTAACTCTCGTCATTCCCAGTCCAAAGAGCCCTGGTCAAAATATAGACTTATACATACAACCTCTTATAGAAGAGTTGAAAACATTGTGGGAGGTTGGTGTAGAAACATATGATTCTTTTAGGCAACAAAACTTCCAATTACGAGCTGCTGTTATGTGGACTATAAATGACTTTCCTGCTTACGGCATGTTATCTGGATGGAGCACACATGGTGTTTTATCTTGCCCCATATGTATGGATCAAAGCAAAGCATTTTACTTGAAAGAAGGGACAAAGCCATCTTTTTTTGATTGTCATCGTCAATTTTTACCAAGTGAACATCCTTTTTGAAAGGATAGGAAGTCATTCAAAAAAGGTAAAGTTGAGAAGTCATCTCCTCCAAGAAGATTATCAGGTGAAGAAGTTTTAGGAAAAGTGTGTTACTTTCCTTCTGTTATGAAAAAAATTAGGACAAACAAGCTTTCAAGTTTTGGGGATGAACACAATTGGACCAAACAGAGTATATTTTGGGAGTTGCCATATTGGCACACAAATCTTATAAGACATAATCTTGATGTGATGCATATTGAAAAAAATATGTTTGACAACATATTTAACACTGTCATGGATGTTAATGGTAAGACAAAAGATAATGTAAATGTAAGGAAAGATCTTTCTTTGTATTGTAATCGTCCAGATTATGAGTTGAAAATAAATGTTGATGGTAAGATTAGCAAGCCTATAACCACTTACACCTTAGGAAAGGAAAGGAAGAAGATGGTATGCGAATGGGTTACAAATTTAAGGCTTCCTGATGGATATGCATCTAATTTGTTGACATTCAAGCTCTTCAAATGTCAAAAATGAAAAGTCATGATTGTCATGTTTTCATGGAGAAGTTGCTACCAATTACATTAAGGGACTTAATTCCAGAGGCAATTTGGAATGTCATAACTAAAGTTAGCATGTTTTTTAAAGATTTATGTTCAACTGTGTTGCAAGTAGAGCAAATGCAAAAGCTAATGGAGAATATTGTTGTTACACTTTGCAAATGGAGAAAATATTCCCCCCAAGATTCTTTGATTCTATGGAATACTTACCAATTCATCTTCCATATGAAGCAATGGTTGGTGGTCCGGTACAATATCAATGGATGTATCCATTTGAGAGGTAAGATGTTCAAATTATTTATATGAAAAATATGGTGATATTATGTGTCAATCTATTATAAATTACTTGTATAATGAATTTATGTAGGGTTTTATATGACTTAAAAAAGATGGTAAAAAATAAAGCTTGTGTGGAAGGTTCAATTTGTGAAGCTTACTTGATGCAAGAAATTTCAAACTTCTGTTCATATTATTTTCTTCCTCACATTGAAACCAAGCTAAGGAAAGTAAGTAGAAATGATGATGGTGGCGAGGTTACTGCACCTGATGGATGCCTCTCAATATTTACTCATCTAGGTTGGGCTAGTGGAAAGATGCGTAAAAGGCATTTAAGTGATGAGGAATTTAATGCAGCTACAATATATATGCTTTTAAATTATGTTGAGATTGAGCCATTTTTGAAGTAACAGTATCACATGAATCAAATATTATATTTAATTAAATATCTTGGTATATAAAATTGACACGCCTATGTGAAAAATGTAGGATTTTTGAAGATGAATTGGTGGTAGAAAATCCCAACATAACTAAGGAAGAGATTGAGAGGAAGACAAACAATGAGCTTGCAAAGTGGTTAAATAAATATGTCAGTTTCAAAATATATCATTTAAAACATTATTTTTTTACTTCTTATATTACTAACTTTTATTTATGTCCCTTACTTTTAATAGGTATTTGACCAAAACAATGGTGTACTTGATAGTAGAGTGAAGTACTTGGCTTCTAGTCCTTTTTGAGAAGTGCATACATGGCATCAATATTGTCGCACCCAGAAATGCGATGCAGACAGCGTGAGAGCGGAGGTTCCGGCCTTCGGAAGGAAGAATGAAGAAATGAGAGTCGCCACCAAGATTTTGAGGAAAATCTCGGGAAACCGTTTAAAGGTGGATAAGGATGGTCTGTGAAATCAGAGAATAGGTTCGGGAGTCAATTGAGTGTGGGGAAGGTGTTAGGCACCCCACAATACCCGTTCGTGAAAACAGTTACCTAAAGTTTGTTGTGCTATGTTAATATGCTTTTAAAATTATTTTAATTATTCTTTTTATATTCATGTGTTGACATAAAAATGATAAGAATTAAGTGAAAAATATTTATTTATTTACTTACAGGGAGTACTTGACTCAGAATCTGACTCTGAGGCCTATGTACCCTGTGATAGGGATCAAAGTCCACGTAGTTCGGGCTTAAAAGTTTATTGGTGAAAATATTTTTTTTCAAGAGAAATTAATTAGAAATAATTCATCATTTTGCAAATAAGATAATTTCTAAAAAGTTTGATGTGTGTGTTTTAAATTGCAAAAAGTGATTTAATTTCAATCATTTTCTCAATTTTTTTTGAATTTTTGGAATAAGAAAAAGGTAAAGGATTAAAAAATTATTTTTATTTTTTATATTTTATGATCGAGAATTTAACTGTTATACTTGTAGAACCTTATTGGCTTATACGGTAATATAATTATTCTTTATATCTGCGGAGAATCCAACTCTTGTATGATAAAAGAGTTTAACAACTTAGTTTATTTACTTAATTTTTTTAATTATTATTTTTTTAGTGCATTCATATATACTTCTTTTTTTTTAAAAGACTCTTAATCATCATACCTGCAAAGCCTTATTGACTTTTACGGTAATACGATTATTCTAAATATCTGTAGAGATTCAAAATCCTCACACCATAAATGATTAAATATTATATATATTTTTTAAAATATTTTAATACGTAATTATATAATTTGCATTTTACAATATAAAAATCTCAATCGCTATACCTATGAAGTCTTATTAACTTTCATGGTAAGATGATTATTCTAGAAGTCTATGGATATTCAAAAATCTCACATGACCAAAATATTTAATGCATTAATTTAATTAATTAACTTTATTATAAAAAACATTTAAAATTTTATTTACAAAATTTATTTATTTATTTATTTTATAAGTTAATGACCACCGATATTTGCGAGAACTTATTATCCTTCATAATGAGGCGATTAAGTTGAATATCTACGGAGATTTTTTAAATCTCTCACAATACCATTCAAATGTTTTAATTGATTATATTTGTGAAATAATAAGAACAAACTCCTTCATTTAATCACACATTTAAAATCTCTACATGAAAATGATATCATGTAAAAATCTAAATTATCTTCAAGAATTAATCAATTATTATAAATGAAAATTAAACACAAAATAATGTATGACTCTGAGAAATAAAGAAATAGAAATCAAATTTAGGTTGGTTAATACTCTTTCATGCTAGAAGACAAACTTGAATCTAACTTATCACTTAGCTTAGCAATAATTTTTTTTTTTCAAAATATTAGAATCAAAAGCATCATGCGAAAAATTAACCTCATTTATAAAAGCAAATAACATATGTTAGAGCATATTTAAGATAAGCAACATTATTTAGAGAAAGAAAACACAATGTTACAAAGCTACTTTCTCTTCAAATATTTTCATAAATATTCTCTATCCATACTTAAATGTTCAAAACTTTTAAATTTCATTATTTCAAATGTGAGGAGTTATCATCAAGGAGTTATCATCAGTTGCAAGACTTTAGAACAGGGACGAGATAAAACAAGAACCAGTATAACGTACCAGTAGCTGAGTAGAGAAGGGAGAAAGAAAAAAAACAGCAACTCAATATGTAATATGCTGCCTTCATTCTTTTTCTACCAAGCCAAACTTCTCATCCTTTGCTTCTCATTGTCCATCTCCTCTTCTTAGTTCATGCATGTCAGGCCCCTTTTTTTTCTTTTGCTTTCTCTGTTCTTCGTCTATGCTGTGTGCTCCTTAGTGCTCTGTTTTTTTCCTTTCTATAACGTGTCTCTCTACCGCTGCTCTATCTCCTTTTGGTCTCTCTTCTTTCTCCAACTCTTCTCCGTTTCACTCTCGTCTTTCTCTCTTTTTCTTTTAGTTTCTCTTTTCTCCTTTTCCTCCGTTCGGACCTTTTCTTTGTACTCTGTTTCTTTTCTTTTTTTTTTCCTCTATTTTTCTGCGTTCATCCTCCTCTCTCTATGTTCTTGTTTTTTGTGTTCTTCCTCCTCAGTTTGCTCCTCTCGTCCATCCCCCCTCTCAGTCTCGATGCTCTTCTTTCCACATTCTCACTTCTCTTCTCGTCTTGACTCCCTCTCCTTCCCGTCTCAGCTCTCTCTCGGTTTCTCTCCTGTTTTTTCTAGCTAACCAACTCCTCCCCGCCTTTGTTTCACGTTCAGCCTTATATAGAGAATGGAAGAGGTGAATCATTGCTCTCCTGCTCCGCTTCTTCTTTTTTCCTTCTTTTCAGCTACATTTTTTGCGTGTGCCAAAAGTTCTCTGCTCTGTTTCTCTTTCTTCTAGGTGTGAGTGCTACATTTCTATTTCTTCTTTATTTCTCTGCTACTGATCCTCATGTGTTCTATTCTCCCTAATTAGTGCCGAAAAGATAACTGACAATGTCCCTGTGTTTTTCTCCACTTTTGCTGTAACGTGTGCATGAACGACCACCTCTGCATTTTCCTTCTTCACGTTTTGCTGTAACGTGTGTCTCTTCTATGTTATGGCTGTGTGTTTTGCATTTCTATTTTTGTTGTTTCTGCTGCATGGCCAAAGGTATACGTGCGTGTGTGTTCTCTTTTCTGTGTTGCGTGTGTGTGCCTCTGCAAGTTTTTGTTTCTCTTGTGTGCGTGCATGTTTCTGCTCGTGTGTACTGACTGCCCATTTAAGAATCAATGTTTTATCTAGCTTTCTTCTTCTTCTTTTTTTTTATCAATAATACATACATACATACATATAAATAAAATATATTTAAATGAAAATAAGATTTGAGGAGAGAAAAGTTAACTGTCAAAAGTAGACTCTTGATATTCTTAAATGATTGGGATAATTTAGGAGAGATCTCTTTTTTTATTTTTTAAATTCAAGCAAGATTTTTGATTTTGTTAAATTATCATTATTATTTTTTTGAAAATATAATCATAAAAAAAGATTAAATTTTATTTTTTTGTTTTTTATATTTTTTGATTATTTATTATTAAAGTTAAAAAAATGTCCGGATAAAATACGGTGTTCACAAATATAATGTCAATGGCTACAGATTTCATACAATGGCATATGGCTCAAATAAAACAACCATGAATAATGGTGTTTGCATTAAAGGAAAGTGTTATGGTGATTTAGAGAATGACTACTATGGGTTGTTAAATGATGTAATTGAATTAGAATATCATAACCCAAGTTTAAAAAGAACAACACTTGTATTGTTTAAGTATGATTGGTTTGACCGTATTATCAATAAGGGATGGAAGGTGCATAAGCAATTTGGTCTAGTTGATATTAATCATAAAAGGAGGTTTATGAAGTATGAACCTTTCATATTAGCTGAACAATCTCAACAAGTATATTTTGCTGAATATGCTAGTAGATAAAAAGAGAGCTAATTGGTGGGTTGTATACAAAGTAAAAGCTAGAAGTATGATTGACTCACCAGATTTGGTTTATCAAGAGGATAAAGTGTCTGAGCTAATTGAACCTGATGTAAATGATAGGCTTGATCATTTGAGTGTAGAAATTGAACATGAAGAGGAACTTGTGGATGTTCAAGATCTTAATTGTGAAATAATTGTTGATCAACAGCATTTAAGTTGCGGAGACATAGAAGAATATGAATTTGAGACTCGAGAGGAAGATAGTGAAGAGGAAAATGATGAAAATATCCAATATGAGGAAGAAGATGGAGAATCAAACTAATAAAGTATATTTTTTGACATAATTTAGTAAGCTTATTAGTATTAAATCTATTTTCCAATGTTTATTTATTGCATTATTTTATTTATTTTTTCACATGGTATAATTAACTTTTTAATTTGCTTACATGTTACTAATAGCTTATGAACTTTTTTCTATAGCAATGCCTAGAGGAAGAGGTCGAAGATGAATATTAGGAGGTAGAGGATGTAGACATGCTGAAAGGAGTGAAGATAATTCTAGCACACCATGTAGCCAAGAGTATTTAGAAGAAGTTGTGAACACACATGCTGGAAGTGTTTGATCGCACTTATGTGTTGTTAGGAAAGGGGATTCGTATGTTTAAAAAAATTTCAATCCCTATTCTAGATTTATTTAAAAAATGTAACTTAAAAGCATTTTATTTTGCAGGTTATCCCTACATGATGTAGTTCGCAATATCACCAGAATATTTAAAAAATCATTCTTAGGAGCATGGCCCACTTGGACTTCCATCCCATCTCATGTTAGAGACTAATGGCTTGACGAACTAAATGTATGTTAATTCTTCATTTGTATGACTTTGAAAGTTTACTGACATTTGCTTATGGTTATTCACTATTATTTAATTAATGGTGACTGAATCTGGTTATCAAAACTGAAAGGAACATTCATATGAAGAGAAAAAAATGATCTTAAAATTCTTGAATTATTTAGATCAGATAAGTAGTTGGATGCTCCCTTAATTTTCTTATCTACATGAGAGTCTAATATATGAATACACACACATATATAAATCACACGTGAGCTTTGTTCTGATTGATACACACACATATATATGAGCTTTATTCTTGTGTGTGCCCCTCACCGTCAAATTTAGAACTAAACTTAAAGGCTTATCTCATTTAGCTTTAAAAAACCATCAAATAGCACATGGATAAACCTGATCCTTAGGGTCATAATATTTGTTTCTGCTTATTTTTTTAATTGCCTGCTTTTCTGTTATTTGTCCTTTTTCTTTGCTCTAATAAATGATGACTTTAATTGTCATGGATAAACCTGGATAAACCTGATCCTTGGGACCATTTAGCTTTAATTGTCCTTTTCTGTTATACACACACATGGTGCATTCTTGTAGTAACACTACACCCTCCCTTCTTCATTTTCGTTCCATTTTATGTATTGCAAACATCTCATAATAAATTTGCTTTGGTACTTGAAAGTTGCAGCTGAAATCATGACTTCATCAAGCATATATAATCTCTTTGTTTTTGTCTCAAAGATTTCTGGCATGTGATATTTTGATGAATATAAAGATTTCTTGCTTTCTTGTTTATTTTGTTTTGTAAATAAAGTGAAACTAACATTCAAACATAAGTGCTTAACTCTTGAGTTTGATATATTTCAGCTGCTTTTCTTTCTTCATTGTCTATATTGTGTGCATGTATTAG